CGCATATATGCGTCATGAAACACTTTTGGCCAGTTTAGTTTTGCGCATATATGCGTCAGCGACAATCAACGGGTTAAAGAAGTCCCTTTTTGTCCGCGGACATCCGGGGACAATGATAGTAATGTCTCGGAGTCATCAAAAAGAAAACTAAAAGACCTTCTATGTCTGGTCCAAAAGATGTCTAAAAGAATAAGAAAGGACGTCTTAAAGACGTCCTTTTAACATACCTTTAAATCTTAAATAGACATTTCTTTTACATTTTCTAAGTTGAAACACAGTAATATTTTATTAAATTTATTTCAAGTTTAATTTTATATTTCTTAAAATATGCAGAAATAATGAAAAAATTCCTACGAAGCTGGGATCGAACTCGGATACCTTGAGCTTGAAGCACTGCGCCTTAAGCACCTCAGCCGTTCAAGACAGATATGACCTCTACAAAGTTTACAATCTCACTTGTCAATGAAATGAATTTAACTTAGAAAAATTCCAATAACTTTTACATTCATGAGTTTTTAAGTCCAAGTTGAACTTAGAAAATACTAATTTCTATTTATGGAAATTTTTATATTTTCAAAGATTGAATCAAAAAGACGTTTTTTAGACATCTAAAGACTAAGACATAGAACATTGTTAGGACGTCTTTAAGAGGTCTTAAAGACGTCTTTTGTACAAGGCCAAAAGACGTCCGCGAAAAGACATCCTTGGGACGTCTTTTGAGCAAGTTAACTGGGCAGTTAGTTAATTTAACAACTTTTGAATTGTTAAAATAATCTTATTTTTATTAATTTATAATATTAGTTGTATCTTAGGGTGTTATGAATTTTGGAAATTTTGGATTTGTGAATGTACACCTATATGCAGTAGCTTATAAGTCTGAAAATATTGAGTTTAGGAAAAAATTGTCACAGAATGAAAATTTTAGTTTTCTTTCTTATGTGAAAAAATTTTTTAATAAGCAAATTAATTTTTTTAAACTTTGGGCCAGATTTTTTAAAAGTTATTTATACATTACTAGCGGCATATTTCTCGCTCGCTAACGCTCACTCGGTTATGACTGAAAAATTGGAAAATTCTTTCGATTCGCTTGAAACTTGTTACTCGAAGGTTTTTGGGGTCACTGATAAAGAATTTGAGGTTAGTTTATTAAAATTCAAAATGGCGAATCCAATATGGAGGACGAAAAAATCGAAAAAGTGTTTAGATTCGCTGGGAACTTATTACTTGGGGCTTTTTGGGGTCACTAATTACGAATGTGATATTAGTTTTTTAAAATTTTAAATGTCGGATCCAATATGGTGGACGAAAAATGTTAAACTAGGTATAGGATTTGTCGAAATTTTGGACTTAAAAGGTTTTTAGGGTTACTAATAAAAGACCTCTTCAAGAGATTTAGATTTTTTTATTCGGGAAACATTCTGCCTTTAGAATCATTGGAGAATCTTTTTATCAACAATTTACCTTAAAGCAACACTATATAAATGCAAGGCTTTTTTGAATTTCAGGAATCGGTGCAGCTGCGTTGAATCTGGCTTTCAAAAATTTCTTATTTTTACCATGCGCTACTTTACTGTAGAAATAGACTGTGGTTTTGGATAATATATTTTTTCCCCAGTTTTTATAAAGTGCAAGAGCGGTTAGAATAACATCTATAGGTTTAGCCAAAAGACTTTCACGTGCTGCTTCTCTTTTGAAGACTGCACCTACTCTGTCACAAGAGTTTTTTCCATGCGCTGTAGCATGACAATACCATTCAGCGACAATATTAAAATCTTTTTCGTGATGCATCAAATTGCCGATTTGGTAGCGATTTTTAAAGTGTTGTTTTGTACCATCAGTGTAGTAAATAATTTTCACATTTTTTACTTGTTTTTTTTATTTCTGGCAACAATAATTGTTGGATGGTGTAAAGCGCTGCTATATCATGGGCAGTGGTACACGCATAGAAAGGGTTTGCTGTGGCAGCGAACATTTTGCTGCCACAGCAAACCTTGTTCGTTGAAATAGGGACAGCGAACAAGTTCGCTGTGAGATCAAACAAGTTCGCTATGACAGCAAACTCGACTAAATTTTTACTAATGTTTGCTGTCACAGCTAACATGTTCGCTGCCACTGCAAACTTCTTCGCTGTGGTAGCTAATTTTCAGAGATTTTACAGCAAACATCTGTTTACTGCTGCAGCTAATTTCTTTTTTTCCGTGTACTTGATAGAAAGACTAAACTTCTATGCTTTAACTCAGAATCCTCCATGTAATAATATACAACAGTAAATACAGTGCATTGGTCGTTAAAAAAGTGGAAAGCTTGTGATATGCGTCTTGAACTACATATTTCGACGGTTTAGAGTGCAAACCAGCTAACTCCACTTTTTATCAAATTTGAGATTCTTTTTGTATTTGATAGATAAAGAGGTGATACATCAGCCAAGTAAAACAGTTTGACGAAATTATGTCTCTAAATTGCTAAAAAAGTGTTGTGAGTAAAACAGCTAACTCCACACCTGTCAAATTGCACTGATATAACTCCACATAATATATTGTATTGTATTGAAATGTGTCTATATTTTGAGTGTAAGAGATATCAATTAAAATATATTTCAAAAGGAAGTACTTATTATTAATGAAGCTGAAGTCCGCAACGTTTTTAAAAACGAAAAATCAAAAAAGAATTTTTTTTCAAGTTAAATTCATCTCTAATTTTCATGTTTCTTAATTTTTAAGAAATTCATTGTTGCTTAAGATACAATTATTAAAAATTAACATGATTTAGAATCAAAAATAAAAAAACCGTCCCTTTATTTTTTCGTTTTCGTTTTTAAAAACGTTGCGGACTTCAGCATCATTTATTATTATTAAGTAGCATTGTGTTATTCTATTAATAAAACAAATATACTAAAAGTTTTGTTCTATAAGAATATAACCTAAAAATTCTTTTGAAAAGTTTTTTGACTCTCCTGAAAAATTTCATAATTGTGAGTTAGCATGTTTGCACTCTAAACCGTCGATTTTTAGTTTTCAGATAAATCTAGCGTTACAAGCACTTCACCATCCTGTAGGTTTCTTTTTTATACTCAAAATATTGTGACTGCTGTTTCGCTAGAAAAGAATGAGGTTTCAAAATTATTAATCTGTCGCTTAGTTGTTGAACAAATTCTTTTGAGCTGAGAATTTGTTTCTGTAAAAAGATTATCGATTGATGTCCATGTGCTAAAAGATACATTGAAAACATTATTATCACATATTAGGTGATTGAATCGATGGGATATAACGGTGGTGAGACTCAGTGGCTTGCGATCGTCGAGGTTAAGCAGACCTGGGTGCAGAGTTAGTACTTGATGACGGCGGTTCGACTCTCGCTCTAGCCCGGTGTTTTCTCACTACTTTCGTAATATATCAAGCGGGAGGTTTGACATCGAGGTATAATGATGTGCACTGTTGATTATTGTCCAGTACACACCATTAGAACTCGACTGTCGATAAACCGATTGTATACAGGAGAGGTTTTCTACAGTTTCCCTCTCCTCTGGCGAGAAAACCCATTAGACGGATGGTCCAGGCAAATGCGAGTACTCCTAATTTCAAGCCGTTCTGTAGACGCAAAATTTAGTATTAAGTAATGAATATAGAAATATTTGTAAAGAGAATTGTATATAAACACTTGTACAACTAGATAAGCTTAGGTCGGGTGTATAAACAAATAAATGAAATATTAGGTAATTGAGTATTCTTTTTGAAAGTTCTGAAACATCTGGACACTTTGAACATTCATTTAAATGACATTTTACGTCTCCTGTTTTACATGTAATTTGTTAGGTAAATTTTAATTTTTTACTTTCAGGTCTAAAGGAGGCCCTATAAGGACACTATAAAAAATCGTTACGATAAGTCAATATTTATACCAATTTTGACCTGCTTTTTAGTTATAGGTCAAAAGTAGGCCTCGTGATCTAATAAATTACTCATTAAAGTCCTACATAAGAGCATGTACATTACATTAAAATTTAATTATTCAAATTTGACTTATTTCTTGACCTATAGATTAAAAGGGTATTTATGAAAACCGTAACGTAAAATCCCTCATTAATACCATCCATAAGGGGAGTTAAGTCAAGTCAAATTCAACTTCATTAAAATTTAATTTCAATTTATTTTTAAATAAATAAATAATTATATATTTCAGTTTCAAAGAATTTGGCTAATAACGCAATTTAACCCTAGAAGGAGTACGTGAATTTACTCACCCTCTAAGGAGGGTGAATCTTGTTTTAAGAGGTTTCCATTTGACGTAAAGTCGCAATTAAAGATAATGAATTTTATTGGTTGTTTAGTAAGGAAGGGAATGGTTTTATTCATTTTTTGATAAATTAAATAAATATAGATATCTTAGACAAAAGTCCTAAGCATACTCGTATGTTAGAATTAACAATATCATTTTTTTCAGTGTAACATTACAGTAAATTTAAAATATCCGCCCCAAGGTAAAACTTCAAATAATGTTACAGTGACATTACATGGTAATGATACAACAATTTCACTGCAATGTTACAAAGAAAGTTCATAAACTTATTATAATACCGAATTTTGCGATCTTCCTTAGTGACATCTCTGTGACATTTCTATAATGTTACAGTGGCATTACTGTAATATTACAGTGATAGTGCTGTAACATTACCATGTAATGTCATTGTAACATGTCTTGTAGTATAACCTTGGGGCGGACATTTTAATATTACTGTAATGTCATTGTAAGGTTACATTTTAATGTTAGAAACATTACAGTAACGTTCCGTGCTACTTGGGCTGATTTGAAATTTGTAAAAATTAAAATAAATATAAAAATTAGAGGAAGGGGGATGGCGCGCATGGGGGCAAAACCCCCCTAGTATATATATCCTGATTCCTAGTGGTGTAGAGGGTGGATATTGAGCGTTGCCCGGCGCCGCGTCGTGGCGCACTGTTAATATTACTTGTCTTTTACAATCTTTAGTCGCTATCCAGCCACCGCCCCAGGTAGACCATATCTAAAACTCCACATCCTCTTCTTATTTCCTAATTCTTATCAGCGACTCATCCCAAAAGCATAACCTTTCCAACAGTCTCGAACTAATAAAATCCCCTTTTATCACTCTTCATTTTTTTCTTATTAAAAAAATCATAAAAATCTACCAAGATGTTAATTGGTCTAGTACGTGACTCTGTTTTGCAATGCTTTTGCCATAGTTGCAAAGTACCAATGTGTCTCGTGGGTGAGTTTTCAAAAAATGAAAAGCAAATGCATACTTGGCTTCCAAACTGAACAAATTTCTCTTTGAACAAGCTTTCGTCACTTTTTACATTTTTTTCGTTATGTTGCACTGTTGCTTTATAATAACAACTCCAAAAATACGTCAAATTTTTTTAGAAAAAAAAAATGAGAAAATTTTGGAGCAACTGTGGCTTTTTTATGGCCGAAACTAGGGGTTTCTGTCTTAGGCGCGTAGTCTGCCGTAAAAGGGCAAAAATCTACTCCCGAAGGGTCAGCAGTAGCTCCTCGAGGAGTAGATACCTTTCTACAGCGAAATGCGAGTCCTGAGATAAAGCTCTAGTGACTACCATGAAAATTCTGCAGTCTCACCAAAATTTTTTTAGTGTATAATGATGTTAGTTATTCTCTTCGAAGAAGAACTTGGATTTCAATACTAAAAGTATTTGTAATGTAATTAGAGTGGTAATATTTGTAGGCTTTGGTCCCAGAAGTAGAAGTTTTCATTTAATGTTTATCTTAAACATCTTTATTAAATGAAAACTTCTAATTTTTGGACCAAAGACTACAACAAAATTACCTCTCCGTTTATTCACTCAATTAAGGTCCGCAAAAAAGAATATTTTTTAAAAGAAAGAATATATTTTAAAAGTATTTCTAAAATATTTTTAAAAAATGTTGCAAAATTTCAATACTTTTTGTTCTAATTTTTTTTTTGCTTCGAAATTTAGTTTTAATACCACTTCTTGCTTTACAAAAAACAAAGTAAAAAAATCTTGAAACTATAATTTACCTGGAATCTTATAGTTTAAAATCTTTTTTCTTTCTAAAACTAAGTAATTAATTCTCGAAATGTAAAATCGATTTATTATCTTTCCGGATAAGTAATAATTGCACGTATGAACTGTACAATTCGAGTAATTACTTTTAATATTCTAAGGGATTCTCCCTGCGAAATGGCGATAGATAGTGATCTTGTAATGCGTCCAAGTTGAATGCAGTAAAGGTCAGTTAACCAAAAAGAAGATCAATAGCATGAGTTTCATTTGCGAATATATAAGCATAAATATTAATTGTTCGAATTACATGAAAACAGAAGCTTCACCGAAACTTGAAATCACAATGAGTCTTTCTTGTTTCTGAATTGCATGTAGCTTACCTTAATTTGATTCAATTTATATATAAATATACATATGTTTATTAAAATGATTTTTAAGATAATTGATTAATCTCTATTGAGAACTGGTATTAAACCCCTTGTTAAATATATGCAGATATTGAGTTTCCGTATCAGAAATTCATTCGCCTATGCAGTCGTATTATGCTAATCGATCCGTACATAGTATATGGCTCTGTCTTGCTTGCTGTAGTTCAATAAATTATTTTAATTTTAAAGTTTCTTCAATATTGAACTATTTATCTTATAATTTATCAAAAGTTTGAAAACGTAAATGATTAGATTATCACACGATCGTCATGATATGTAAATTACTTCCCATACAATTCATATCGTGCAATTAAAGTAAACAGTTGATTAATCAAAATTATTAATTCAATTCTCAAATAATCGTTTTCACTACTTGTTGAGCATTTTGAAAAAGAAACAATTGCATTTCCTGACACTTTATTGTTACTAGGATGATTCAGATTTTTGGGTGCGGCCCAAGATGGCCACTGACCTTTTCTTTTAATCCATTGAAATAAAGTTCATCCTTTTATTTTGAAAAACATCTTTTTTTTCTTAGCCTTTAAAGTAAACTAATTATTTTAAATTCAATTATACATTAATTATCTATAATAGTTAAAAAAAATATTTATCTTAGTCAAATAGTAGATTACTTAACTACATATTATTAAATAAACTATGAATGAAGCAATACATTTTAAAGCTGATGATTTTTAAATTATAATTAAAAATTTTTTAAATAATATAATTTTTTAAATTTATAATTTAAAATAATTTAAAAATTATTTAAGATGAATAGTTATTTATTGAACAATATTCTACTATAGTCCAATAAATAATTATTGAATTGTTTGAATAACATTACATTACATTTTTTAATGTAATTCTCTGCTGTTGCTTATTTTATAACTAATCATTATTGTAATTTTTATTAACGAAAGCTTGTACCAAAGGAAATTTAAAGGGAAATTTGTAAAATGAATCTCAAGAAAAATTTACATTTTTACAAATTTTACTTTGTCTGTTTGAATAAAAATAAATCCTTTCGAGTATAATTTAATTGTCAATTTATCATGAAAGCGGGACAAAGAAGGGGTTCAGCACCAATGAAGAAAATGAACGGAAAGACGAAGCCCCGAACTAAACAACCCAAAAAAGTTAAATTCATCAGTGAGTACTTCTTTAATTGAAGGGTGTGAAGGGTGCGCTATAACAAAGAGTTAAAAGCCAATTTTTCGTAGGTTAGATTATATCAAATTTGACGTTATAAATCCTTTTCTGTACATTATATATGGTTAAATCGGTAAGAAATTCTTACTTAGTATAGTTAAACTTTATGATAATTACAAACAATTTTTTATTATCAATATACTGATATTAATTATTGATCCCACTTTTAAAAAACTGTTGAACTATTACCAACTCCAATTGGAGTTGGTACTTTTTAATTATTATTTCCTTATTATTATATATTTAAAACAATTTTTTTAGAAGTCATCCATGAAGCATGTGATTCATAATTTCGGAAATTTCACCCCCCCCCCCCGGTAATGATGCTTTTTTCATTAATGATTAACATGGAGCATGATATTTTACAGACGTGCGGTTTCCGTAGAATCGTTTCATGTACGATATTTAGCTCTAAAAGTTGAAGTGTCGTTTTGACGGATACATCTTTATTACAGCGCACCCTTCAATTAACTGTGTGTTGGGGATAGTCCATAAATCACGTGGTTCCATTTTTTTTTTAAATTTTATCCCCCCCCCTCCCCATGTATGTTACTTGTATTAGAGCCAATTTTCCCTCTTATCGTAGACAATAGCTTGACCTCCCCCTCCCCCTTCAAGTACCACGTGGTTTATGAACGATCCCTTGGCAGTAATACATATATATGTAATTGTGAATAAACTGTTGTATAATTTCTTTATTTTTTGAAGATTCTAGAGTATCATAATAATTATTGAAGAAAAATCATATCATTTTTTACTCTACTTTTATTGGAACAAGAAAATCTTTGTTTTAATGAAAAATTATTAGTCGGAAGTTGATAAAATCAGAGCTCGAACTAGGTTCATAAATTCCGTAAAGGTCCGTAAATTTCCTTGAAGTCCGAAAAAGTCAGTTTTTTGGAAAAAAGGTCCGTAAAGTCCGTAATTTAAATTTGAGAAAAGATGAAAAGTTCGTTAATTGTACGATATAATTTAGAGAATTTTAGAGAAATTATACAAATATTTCCAAAAATTCAATTATTTTCAAAATTTTTAAAAAATTCTCGTTAAAATTTCAATTATCTTTAAAATTAATTAAATTCTTCTTCAAAATTCAATTATTTTCAAAAAATTTAATAAATAATATTCTTGACAAAATTTCAATTATTTTCAAAAATTTTCCTCAATTCAATGATTTTTAATATCTACTATTTCAATAAAATTTTACAAAAGAATTCAATTATTTAAAAAAAAATTTAATATAATTCTACGCAAACCTTTAATTATTTTCATAAAATAATGAAAATTTCACAGGAATTTAATTATTTACAAAATTTTTTTATAAATTTCTTCGCAATCATTCAATTATTTTCGTAAATAATAAAATTCTTTTTAGGAATTCAATTATGTTCATAAAAATAATAAAACTCATTGTATAATTTAGATTATTTTTAATACAATAAATTTTAATCGAATTCCTCGAAAAATGTAATTATTCTTATAAATTTTATTTAAATTCGTCAAAAGAATTTAATTATTTAAAAATTTATTCATAAAATTCTGTATGAGAATTTAATTTTAAGAAACATTTAATATTGTTCAATAAATTATTTATTTTTGTATTTCAATAACTGAATTCTTGTAAAATTTTTTAATAGAAATTTATTTAAAAATTAATTTTAGTTCAAATTTTAGATAATAATTAAATATAAAAATCATTATAGCATGAATTATTAAAAGTAATTGAATTTTGAAAAGGTTTCAAATTAAAATCTTTGAAAACCTGAATTTTTCATATTTTTAACTAACTTGTGGAATTAAATTTTTTGAGAAAATTTAATTACGGATTTTAAAAAAAATTATTTGATGTTTTTATTTTCTAATATATAGGTATATTTAATTGAAGAATTTACGAATAATTAAAACTTTGTAAAATTGAATTGTAAATAAATGAATTTTAAAATTCTTAAAGAACTTTTTCGAAAATTCTTAAAAATAATGCATTTATAGAAGAATTTTATTTAAAAACACGAAAAAAGAATTTAATTTTGGAAAAGTTACAAATTATTCCAGAAGTTCAGAATTATTGCAGAAATTATTTTCAAGAGTATAATAAAATTCTTACAAGGATTCAATATTATTTTCGTAAATAATAAAATTCTTTTTTGAAATTCAATTAATTTTCATAAAATTAATAAAACTCATTGCAGAATTTCAATTATTTCTAATACAATTTTAAACAAATTTATCGAAAAATGTAATAATTCTTAAAAATTTTATTAAAATTTGTCGAAAGAATTCAATTACTTAAAAATTTGTTGATAAAATTCTTTATGGGAACAGAATTTTAAAAAGCATTGAATTATTTAATAAATAATACTGATTTGCAGTCATTTTCACTTCTAATCAGTGAAATTTGACTGATTTCGGTAGCCAGAAGTGAGTCACTGTTTGGTATGCAGTGAAAATTTCACCGATTCAATTTGAGAGAGTAATGGCTTTTTAATAAAATATATAAAATTTTATATGACATTGTGAAATACTTTTTACATTTGTTTAAATCGTAGATTGATATCTACCAAACAAACAAGAAACATCTTATTACTATAAATAGGAAAATTAATAAAACTGGCACCAGTCTGGCTGTATTAGGTACCGGTGCGTGTATCGGCGATAGACGTCGCGGCGCCTAGAGACAATTGTTCTGTGCAGATCGATCTCTCCGTCGCAAGACGTTAATATGAGTCATACCGACCTGTCTGTCGAGCATTACGTTTTCTCATTTTTTTTTGCAATCGCAATCAGGAAGAAAATTTTACCTACTCTACTTGAAAGAATTCTTACGAATCACGTTTATTATTGTCAAACTTGATTTTTGTAATTGAATTGTTTCAAATAATATTTAATAATTATTATTTTAAATAATAATAATCAAAATAAGTTAAAAAATCATCAATTTTTTTTTATTGAACTCTTACTCTGAAATGTCAAAGTTAAAATTATCTCTCCATTTTATAATATCCTATTTAATCGCAAGAATATTTAAAGAATGAGATAAAAATAATTATATCCATTAAATTGATTATTTAGCGAAATAAACTCTTACCATCAAATCATTATAAAAAATAATTACAAAAAACTTGTTTCTGATTTTGTATATGAACATTTTTTTTCCAACAATAATTGATGCTAATTGGTAATGGAATTTTTTTTAAAGCTACCGAAATTCGATGCCAGGAGAAGTCAAAGGGAGGATTGAGATACGAGGTGATTTTAGCTGAGCCAACGGTTGCTAAGAGAGCACCTTCACCACCTCAAGCATCACCAACTCAGGAGATAAATATCCAGGAAAAATTAAAGGCTGCCGAAGAGAGACGACTCTCACTAGAGGCTAATAAACTTGCAGTTTTGGCAACTCGCCTGAGTAAAATCGAAGAAGCTGCTCGTAAGAAGGATGAGTTAAGTGCAGCTTTCATGGCTGCGACACGCGAATCATTGGACGCTAAAATGCATCACACTGTTGAAAATCGAGAAACTCTCATCACTGAACTCAAGAGTAAATTAAAGGATCATGTGAGTTTTCTTTTCTAACTTTTAATTAAAGAAACTTAATTAAACAGTTATTTCAGAAACTTCAATCATTAGAAACTACATTTAAATTTCAATTATAAGTTCTTCCTTCATTCTAAAACAAATCTACAAACTTTCCAGAAAATTTTCGCTTCACTAATTCGATAATTTAGAAAAAAAGAAAATATTGTTTATTTAAGCTTTCTATTCATTATAAAAATTAATATTTCTTAAAATCAGTGTTTTCTTTATTGATTAATATTTATTGTGATAATATAATACAAAACAATATTTTAATAGTTGGAGAGCGTTGAAAAGACTCGTTTGACTTTGGATCAACAAACTGAAGAAATTCGTAGCTCACTTGAAGAGAAATTAAAATCTGCTACCACTCAGCGAGATGAAAATTTGAAGAAGATGGTTGACCGTTTAAAAGATCACGTAAGTTTTTTTTTATTTCTAATTCAATTCTTGAGTCTAACATCAAATATATTTCAGAAAAAAGAAAATGATTTTTCTTTAATTAGGGTTGCCACAGGTCAGGGAAATCAGGGAATTCAGGGAAAAGTCAGGGAAAGTAAAATTGGTCAGGGAAATCAGGGAAAAGTCAGGAATTTTTATTTAAGTAACTGGAAAAAATTGAATTTTGGAGAAGTAACAAATGATTGCAGAAATTCAATTATTTTCAAAAGTAATAAAATTCTTCGCAAAAATTCAATTATTTTCAAAAATTAAAAAAATTCTCGACAAAATTCAATTATCTTTAAAAATAATAAAATTCTTCTCCAAATTTCAATTATTTTCAAAAATTTTAATAAAATTCTTTGCAAAATTTCAATTATTTCCAAAAAATTTTTCTCAATTCAATGATTTTCCATATCTACTGTTTTAAAAAAAATTTTCAAAAGAATTCAATTATTTAAAAAAAAAAGTTTTGATAAAATTCTAAGCAAACTTCGCAATAATTCAATTATTTTCATAAATAATAACATTTTTTACAAAAATTCAATTATTTTCATGAATAATAAAATTCATCATAGAATTTCAATTATTTTTAATGGTAGGTGGTCACTTCTTCTAAAAAATATTTTCTAATCCTGTTTGTCTAAAAAAAGCAATAATTTCTAATGAAATATGTTTTCTAAAAAAAGTTTTTCTAACAAGTTTTGATTTCTAAACAAAAATTTTCTAAAAAGTTATGATTTCTAATATTTATTTTCCTAAAATTTGAAAATTTCCATAATTTTGATAAAAGTTAGAAAATTGTTTTAAGAAAAACTAAGATTAAGAAATAAAAATTATTTTGCATTTTTTCTGTTTCTTAATCACAATTTTGTTTATAAAATTATAAGTTTCTTTTTAAAAAAGAAGAAAAATTTTTTAATAAAATTACTATTTTTTATCACAATTTATTAACAAAATTCTGTTTTTCTTGGAAAAAAAATAATAATTTGCATCATTTTTATACTAAAAGTTCCAAAATTAATTTATTTATAAAACACTTTTACAGAAAATTTGAAATATCTTTAGGAAAAAATCCCTATAATTTCTATTTCTTAATTACGATTTTTAATTTCATTTTTAACTTTTTTTAAAGTTTTGTTAAAAAATTTGCATAATTTCTATTTTTTATTATAATTTTTTAATGAAATCTCAAGTATTTATTTTTAAAGAATTAAAAAATTTTCGTAAATTTTATTTTCTAATCATACCTATACCTATTGGTCGTCATTACAAAAATTGAATATTGTTAGAAACATTTTTTTTTAAAAATTGTCTTTATAAGAAAAAGAAATTTTTAGACAATGACCTTTATTAGAAGAAAGAAAATTTGAAAATCACCTTTATTAGAAAAAAGTTTTTTAGAAATTCACCTTTATTAGATAAAAAATTTTTAGAAATTCACCTGTATTAGAAAAAAAATTTTAGAAAATAAAAAATTAGAAAATACGTTTTAGAAAAACTGTACCCCAATCATTTTTAATACAATTTTAATTGAATTCCTCGAAAAATTTAATTATTCTTTAAAATTTTATTAAAATTTCTGGAAAAAATTCAAATTTGTTGATAAAATTCTTTATGATAATTTAGTTTCGAGAAACATTCATTTATTCAATAAATTATTTATATTTGTATTTTAATAATTGAATTCTCGTAGAATTTTCCAATAAAAATTGATTTAAAAATGAATATTAGTTAAAATTTTAGATAATAATTGAATATTAAATATTAAATATCATAATTGATAATTGAATTCTTTCGAAGAATATTAACAAAATTTTTGAAAATAGTTACATTTTTCGAAGAATTTACTTAAATAATTAAAATTCTGTGAAGAATTTTATTAATTTGTGAAACTAATTGAATTCTTGCAATGAATTTTTTCAAATTTTTTTTTAAATAATTGAAATAATGTAAAGAATCTTATTATTTATGAAAATAATTGAATTCCTGCATCAAATTTTATTACATTTTTTTAAATAATTGAATTCTTTTGAGAACTTTTATTAAAAAAAGTAATTTGTGAAAATATTTGAATTTCAACGAAGAATTTCATTATATTCGTGAAATGTAATTAAATTCTTACAAAAAATTTAAGAGAATAATTCTATTTTTCTAGGAATTTACTTTAAATTGTATTATAAATAATTGAAATCCTTAGAAAAATTTTATAATTTATGAAAATAATGGAATTCTTACAACGAATTTTATCAATTTTTTTTAAATAATTGAATTCATGTGAAAAATTTTATTACTTGTAAAAATAATTGAATTTATGCAACGAATTTTATTACATTTTATTTAAATAATTATATTCTTTTGAAAACTTGTATTAAAATTGTAAATTTTGAAAATTTTTGAATTTCAGCGAAGAATTTCATTATTTGTGAAATGTACTTTTAATTTAATTCTTGCAAACAATTTTTGAAGATAATTTCATTTTTCGAGAAATTTATTTAAATTTGTATTAAAAATAATTGAAACCATGTGAAGAATTTTATTATTTATGAAAATAATTGCATTCTTGCAACGAATTTTATTATAATTTTTGTAAATAATTTAATTTTTTTTTTTTGAAAAATTTTATGTAAATTAAAATTTTTATAGAACATGAAGATATTAATCACTCCGAGTCTTCAACTCGGAGTAATTGATATCTTCATGTTTTATAATAATATTCTTATAAGTTGTTTAATTTTAAAAATGTTTGAAGAATTTTAATTCCTATGGAAAAATAATAATTAAATATTTATTTAAAAATTTAGTTTTTGATGTTTGCGAATAATTTTACAATTTAAGAAATTCATTAGTAAATGTAATAGAATGTTTTTTTGAGTATCTAATAATTTTTAGAGTGAATCAGAATATTATTTATGGTCAGGGAAAAAGTGAAAATTTTGTCTGGAAATCAGGGAAAAGTCAGGGAAAAATAAAATTAAATATTTGTGGCAACCCTGTTAATTTTTTGTACCAAAGAAGGTTTTTGACGTTTTGAATTTTAGAGATATTTTAACCTTAAAGTGTAAAAACACGTTTTTTAGCTACATTTGAGAAATAATTCAGAATAAAGAGACATTTATGAACAATTTAATTTTGTTTAATTAATTTCTTTTTACTGAGAAAAAAAATCTTTCAGGAAGAACAAGTAGCTCGCGTGCGCAAAAGTATGAATGAAAAAGTTTTGCAATTGGATAGTCAAATTCAAGGAAAATTGGACCAAGCTCGTGAACGACGAGAAAATCGTGAACGCGAAACTAAAGAAAGACTTCGTATTCATGTAAGTAAAATACTGTATTTTTAACAAACAAAAAACTGTCATTTAATTTTTGCACAAAATACCGAATATTTTTATAGTTATTTTTATCATTTATAATAATCAGAACTTTATTACTTTCTGAGTTTGTTGTACTGATATCAATTTTATTAAGTAGGGACATTGTACTTTGATCTAGATCCATTTTGGAATTAAAATAAAAATTCACTTTTTACATAGATTCAGAAAAAGTTGAATGTCCATAATAAAATTGAAAAATTCCAAACTTTGATTTTATGATTTAATAATGAATTTTTTTTGTAGGAGGAACGTGCTAAACTAGTTAGACAAAATAAAGCGGCTATACAGGAAAATAAAAAGGCAGACAATGAAGTAATGAAGAATGAGATTGCTAGTTCTGGTTAAAAACTCTCCTAGCGATTTTGCACATAATTTTAAGTTATCATTCCAAGTAAAATGCAGATAATGATAGAAACTTTTTTTTTTTGGTTTTCTTCACCGCCTTAGCGTTTCCAAAGGAAACAAAAAGAGAGTAAAGAGAATAATTTAGCCAAAACTCTTTCAACACATTGTTCTGAAAAATTACTAAACATTAATTTATAAATTAAACGAAAAGATGTCAACAAAGCATATAAAAAAAAAATAATTCCCGACAATCGGGTGAAAACACTTTTCGTAAAAGTTGCCTTAAACTTATTTTATAATATGACACAAGTAGCAAAAGAGTTTAACTTCTATTTTTACAATTACTATTATAAACCTCTAAGTTTCTTAATTTTTTATAAAAATAAAAATACTAAATTTCGATAGCTGCACAAATGTTGATAAAAATTTCGCTTTAAGAGCAAGATTTTGATTGATATGTATTAGAAAGAAGTGAAAAAAAAATAATAATAAAACGAGAAAGAGAAAGAACTAAACCTGAGAATTTAAATTAGAAAACCTTAAGAATTAATAATAGAATATTATCATCGCTACATTTATATAAAAACATATACAATATAAGATTTATTAACGCCGTTGTATAAGTATATTTTATTCGATATGCTTACAAATTAGATATATGTAACATTATAATGCTTCTGTGATGGCTTTACTAATTTTCAAATTGTCTATTGTGGATAAATGAATTGTTTTATCAATAATATTGTGGTTAAAATTTCTCAAGGACCATTTTCTAAATAAAACGTGTACGTGATAAAAAGAAGTGTATTAGAATATAATTTAAGAACACGCTCAGGTATCACATTTTTTCAAGAGTTTTATAAAGACCAAAAAAAAAAAATAAATGTCTTTCTCAATCTCTAATCACAATGATAATGTTTAAAAGTTACTTAATGGTGAAGATATATCATAATATGTAAGAAGAAAATATATCTCCAATTTTATCCAATAAGTTGACTTCACATAATATTTCAACAAAAATAATGCTTGTTATCCAAGTCCAAGAACCAATCTATAAAAAAGTCCCTAGAGGATTTAAAAAAATTATCATTTGACTATACACTGAGTGACCTTTTGAACTGCAGTGAAACTTAGGTAGGTGACAGCAGCTTCGCTATGAGTTGGAACGCTGCTGAATTAGTGGGGACACCACCTTTGGTTTGTAGATGTACAAATTTTGGACAAACATGCTCCCAAAATTGTACTGCAGTAGCCTAAAGGTTTGCTCTAACAGCTTACCAACTGTGCCCGCTAAAAAACTGTTTACAGAATCCCTAAGGGATCATTTAATATTCCTCTACAAACAACTAGAAACTCTACAAACAATTGCCTCAAAGGTACCTCAAAGCTCCCTTAAGGTTACCTCAAGGCTCGCTTAAAGCTCAGGACTTGTTTGAAGCTGAAAACTTTTCTAAAACTTAAGACTGAACTTAGACATAAGGCTCGCTTGAGGCACAGGCTCACTTAAAACCCAAGGCTTATTTGAAGCTAAAAACTCGTCTAAGACTTGAGACTGAACTAAGACTTTTAAGACTCGCTTAAGGCTTAAGGCTCAATTTAGGCTCAAAGCTTGTTTGAAGCTATAAACTCGTCTAAGACTTTAAACTGAACTAAGGCTCAAGGCTCACTTAAGGCTGAAGACTTGTTTGAAATTAAAAACTCTTCTAAAACTTAAGACTGAACTAAGATATAAGGCTCAAGGCTCACTCAAACTGAAGATTTGTTTTAAGCTAAAAACTCGTTTAAGACTTAAGACTGAACTAAGACTCAATACTTGATTAAGGCACAAGACTCACTTAAACCTCAAGACTTGTTTGAAACTTAAAACTCGTCTAAGACTTAAGATTGAACTTGAACATTAGGCTCGCTTAAAGCTCAAGTTTCTAGGCTCACTTAAAAACTCAAGGCTTATTTAAAGCTAAAAATTCGTCTATGGCATCACTTTGGCCTAAGACTATAAAGAATCGCTTAAGGCTCAAGGCTTACTTTAAGCTCAAGATTTGTTTAAAGCTAAAAAGTCGTCTAAAAATTAAAGCTCAACTAAAACATAAGGCTCACTAAAGGCTCAAGGCACAATGATGGGTCAAGTTTAACTGAAGCTAAAAACTCGTTAATGCTTGAATCTTACCTAAATCGAAAGCAATGTTTTAGATCAATTTAAGGTCATAGACAAAGTTAAATCTTCAAACAAGCCTTGAACGAGTTTTACATCTTAGATTTAAATCTTAAGTCTTAAAAGAGCTTTTAGGTTAAACTAACTCTTGAGCCTTAAAAGCCTTGAGACTGAAGCGGGTCTTAAAAATCATAGTTAAGTCTTAAGTCTTAAACGAATTTTTAGCTTCAAGCAAGTCTTGTAGGTTTAAGTGAGCCTTGAGCCTTTAAGCGAGCCTTATATCTATGTTCATTCTAAAGTCTTAGACGAGTTTTCAACTTCAAATAAGCCTTAAGTAAGTCTTAAGTCTTGACGAGTTCTTAGCTTCAGTGAGTTCTTGAGTCTTAAACGAGCCTTGTGTCTATAAGTTCAGTCCTAAGTCTTAGACGACTTTTTAGCCTCAAGCAAGTCTTGAGCCTTAAGCGAGCCTTGAGGTAACCAACAAATTTTAAGGCGAGTAAATTTATTTCCTTATGAAGAAACTTTGTTTTCGTGACTAATTTCGAAGAGATTGTTAATTTTTTCAGATTTAATTAAAAATTACCGAATGATAAATTACTTTCCTTTAATTAAAATTGCCTATAAATCTAAAATTAGGCTTACCATCTTTGAACTTCCTACATTATCATTAAATAATAAAGGAAGTAAAGTACACGGAAAAAAATTTTTACTGTGGGGAACAGCTAATTTAAAAAATAAATAACATAAAGAATCTATTCAACTAATTCAGTGAATGATTTCCAATGCAGTAGTCAAACTGTTTCTCTGATATAGAGAAAATGAATTTCACTGGTCAGCCATATTGGAAATATTTGACAGTTTACCATTCTCATAGAAATTTCTCTAAAATCACAAATGTCAAATTTACATTTCTTATCTCTAAATACGTATTAATTTACTAATTTTACATTTTATTAGTTATAATATAAAAAATATAATTGATAGAATTTGAATATACGCTTTGAACATTAATGTAAAAATGTTTTCAATCAAGTGTTATTTTGAGGTTATGTTGTTTTCAAAAGGTAACTTAAGAAATATCATTTTCGCTAGATCAGCGAAAATGGATTATCGCTGGAGCCAAATCCGTGAAACTTATAGCTATTATAGTGATTGTTATCTCTACTTTAGTAGAACTTTTTTTTAGCGTGTATATGTCAAGGAACTCTGAGAATCTTGATGTGCATGTAGCTCAGTGGTTAGAGCAGTCTACCAGCAATAGAAAGGTCGTGGGCTCGTATCCCACAATAATGCTTCCGTTTTTCTCAGTTCTTTGATAATTTTGAAGTTATTAATTGACTTCGAAAATATTTTTCAGAAAAAGCAGGTTTCTGTATTAGGACGGTTGTACTGTCGATACAAAAAATTAAAAGATGCTTGCTTAAGTGAGAAATTGATTCAGAGAGATTGTTAATTTCAGGTTCCTCTAGAGGAACATTAAAGGATTTCTTAAGAACCCTGTAAAAAGAGTTTTAGCTACTAGGGTTAGCAGCAGCCTATCGATAGACTACTACAGACCAAAATCTCTCTCAGTGTATAACTAGAACAAAAATAATAATAACATATGGTAAAGATTAAAGTCAGCATATACACAAGTATCGCACGTTTAGATCATTTTTACTATAATATAAAATTCAATTTTGAAAAATTTAGATTTTCTTTATAAAGACAAAAAACATAATATAGACATAATTAGAGTTTATGTGCATTAAATTAATTACTCTCTAAATCTAAGAGTGTGAATACTAACTCAAATTAGTAAGACTTTTCATTAATTTATAGTAACATTTTTCTAATGAACTTTTTTTACTAAATTTTGAGGAAAAAATAGAAATTATTACAAGTTTGAATTAGTAAACACCTTCCCTTCGATTTGAAGAATTAAATGCTATTTTTTAAATAATATTTAAGCTGAATATTTTATTAAGTTAAAAATAAAGAAACAATTCTGTAAAATTTTTTTTGAATTTGTAACGTTGCATAATAGTTATTGTAATGAATTTACAAAGCCTAAATTAGAATTAATTAATGATTAATGTGCTGGCAAGTAAATATGTGATTATACTGCCTTTGATAATTGCGATATCCATATAAGTCTATATAATAAACATATAATTAAATGCAATGATTTATAATAACAGTTAAACGTTGTTTCTATGGATTTTAGTAAGCTTCAGTATCTAAGTGGAAAAGATTGATATGAAAAGTTCAATATGCGAGTCCAAATCTTAAGAAAAATATATCATGTTCTCAAAATAATTTGTCGTTATTTTCACTGCATATAAATATTCAAAACTTAATAAAACAAGTTGTGACTCCAGATATTCATATGAACATTTTGCTTCCTCGTGGAGGAAGCTTTAACGACAAATTATATTTAATTTTTAAATAATTTTCAATGCCTACAATTTAACATTTATAAAATTAAGTTAATTTGTATTAAAGGAAGGAATAAAATTTTATTACACAGTAATATGATTTTAAATAAACAAAACAATTTTTAGTAAAAGAGTGAATTTTTCAACTTTAACCGTGATTAATTTTATTAATTCCAATACAATATATAGGGGAGACCGGGGTGAAGTCGGTCACTAGCGATTAGTGACGCTATGAACTTAAGATGGTGATATCGGTACTATAAAATTACTTATTTTGTTAACGAACTTTCGTTTAGTTTCATGAATTTAACATGGAATCACAGGCGGTCAAGTGTTTTAAGAGGTGTCAGAAAAAAAACGATCTTTGGATTTTTAAGTTTTTCGATCATTATTTTTTAGTCTTAATTTATTTAGATAAGTTTTTTTGATGCAATTAAATGTCCTTTTTCGAAGTACATACATACATATATATAACATAGTTTTGTAGATTTAATTAAATTTATTCTGAAATGTGAGGAATATATTCAGGGTTAAATCGGTCACGTGAAGTTGAAGTAAAGCCGGTCACTTAGTTTTAAATTTTTAATAAAATAATTTCAAGTATTACATTTTAACATTAATAAAATTTATAACTTGTTAAATCCAAACTTTAAAGCATTTTTAAAATTTTTATAAATTTAAGGACTACAAAGCTTTCTCCACGAGGAAGCAAAAACATTAAATTCTTAATAAGATTTTTAGTTATTTTCTTCATATAAATTATTATTTATTTAACATTCTGTACGGGCTTACAGAGGAAAGAAAAAGGCCCTATCATTAAATCTAAATTGCATCTAACTTAATTACTTAAATTGTGTATTGTGAACATATATCCTAAAGAAGATTGTTAAGGTAAGTGGCTAATCAAACAAAAATTATAACCTTTATTAATATTATAAAATTAAGGAGGCAGAAAGGAGCGACAACCTCCAAAAGAAAAATGAATTAATCATAAAACCAAAAATTATATTTTTCAAAAATTTTTAAGTTTTTCTATTCTTGAAATTATATTATTTTTATCATTTTCACTTTTAAATTAGTCAAAATGACTATAATACCTCATTATGTTATGTATAAATATGTTGTATGGGTCATTCCAATGAAAACCGTCTAGAGCTGGTTGCTCGATGATTTTAAAAAATGATGTGATTAATATATAATATTCTTCAATAAAATTGGATTATATTTTAGTGGTTTATAGCCCCAAATATATTTTACATTCTTTTAAATATTTTTTTTAAATGTCTAACTGGTTATGCAGTCTAACATAACCCATTTTGCGAAAACTCAGTATGAATCATTAAAAATAGATTATAAATACTGATTTTTATTTTAAATAAATATATTTTTGCTAAATTCATTTAAATAAACGAAAACTATTTGAAAATAACTCACCAGAACAGATAAATCAGAATTTTTTTGTACTTGCACAGTATAATAAACATGAATTTCTTTTTCTTATATCTTCTGTGGAGAAAAAGGAATTTTCACGAAACTTATTCAAATTGATTTATTTTAAAATTATAAATTTATTTAAATTGGAATTTTTTTGGGACCTGTACTCATTAATTATTTAATAAATATGAAAAATTTTATAAATTTAACCTGATTTTGATTAAATTTTTATTTTCATGCAAGGATGCCCTAAAGACATCCCAAGTCCCAGTGCCCACTGGGTATTTTTTTGAAATGAAGAAACATTTGTTACGATTTACATTTCAAAAATAAAATTCTGAATCTTAAATTTTTTTTTGAAATTGAAAATTTTAATTTAAAGTAAAATTTTATAAAGACCGGATTTGTAAATACTTCGAATGCAAAGATTAGCGTCTCGATAAACTTTAAATGTAGCTTCAACTCGCATATCGTAGACGAATTTTGATTGACAGGCTTTTGCTGAAATTTTCACATTTTTCAATACAGTGAGTCCTTCATTTTTTAATTTGAATATGATATTTTGTTGTCTATTATTTGAGATTTGAAATTCTTCGATTTTATTAATGACACACTTTTCTGGTATTGTTGCTTTGTCCAAAGAACATGTGGCCACGATATTGTTGAGATCAGTTATAGTTTTATTTGCAACCTGCGACAAAATACAATGCAGATTAATAAATATTTATTTTATAAATTAATCTACTCTATTTATTAATTTTTATTTAATGTACTTTACTCGAAAAAAAACACTTTTTAAAGACAAAGTCGCATTTTTACGCTTTTTGCAAAGATATTCTTGAACTTTTTAAATAACTGGACTAAACAAAGAAAAATAGAAGGTTAAAAGTGTATTTGAATAAAAAGTTTATAGAGCAAAATAAATTTCAAGGCAAAACTTGTTTTTCTCTTATTATGCAATCAATAAAGTTTATTTGGAATATATTTGATGTATTTGATTAAATATATGACATTGTGAAAATTTTAAAAAAATTAAGTGGAAAAATGAATGTTTAAATTAATTGTGATTCAATGAGAAAACGGTATTATTTAATTATAGAAATATTAAATTAATCGAGAAATTTAGATATTGGTAGGAGGTCCGAAAAATCTTGCGCAAAGTTATCAAGCACAAGGAGGCAAAGCGTTTGCCTTTCATTTCATACATGCGTACGTATAAAATGTAGCGCACTTTTACTTTCATACATTCCTATAATGCTTCAAAAAAAAAGTTTCGTATGTGTCGAAGCACAAGTCAAACGAGATTACATTTTTCTATCATAGATAACATTGCGCAACCTTACGTACATATACCTTCAGAATGCGATTTACCTCATAAAAGAGAATTAAAACTTCTTAAGAAATTTTTTTTGTCATGCACCGAAAAAATAAAATTTTAAAGTGAGAAGTTCTACTCAAAAATTACTTTTACATTTTATTTCCAATGTACGAATAATTATCAACCAAAAAGAGGATTTTTTTATTTGAAAATATTTCAATTAAAAGATTACTTTGAAACTTTCTTTGTTTGATTAAAATTATTCCTTTAGAAATTAAATAAACAAGAAATACTGCAAAAAAGAGAAATATTCTAAAATTGAGAACTTTTTTTCGGTAAGCATTAGAAAAAACAAATATTCTTGAAATTTAAAATTTAATCAAAATTGAAAAGTTTCATAATTTAAAATTAATTTTTTAATTCAAACTAAGTTTATCATGGAAAATAATTTAAATACCTGTAGGGCTTTGGTAATATTTTTCAAAAGTGGAGTAGCAGATGACAAAGAAATTGGAGTACATTTGTCAAGATTCAAATAAGTCGTTTCGTTCAATTTTCTCAAACTATTGTTTGACATTTTTTGACAAGATGAAGCATCAATTCCTGTAACGTTCACTGCACTGACTGCCGTCTAAAATGTACAATTTTATTTTTGTTTTATTTTTTAAATCAAGCGATTTTTTTACAGATTAACAATATTATAATTTTTATTATTGTAATTTTAACTTTTTAGTGTATAAATAGCATCTTTTTGATAAACAAAATAAAAATTTTATTTCTAGATCGCTTTCAAGTAAAATATTATGTGAAAGAAAAAATTACAATTCTAAATTCTGTTTTTAAAAGACAAAATGTTTATAAATTTATATTAAATTTTACTGTATACAATTAATATATTTATTAAAATAAAATTTACTTTACCTCGACTCCATGGAGAACGTAATAAACAATTCCATCCATACGATTTAAAGAATCAAGTTTTGATTGATTAATTTTGATTTTCATATCAGAATGCATTTTTTCCTCGAATTGTTTAAGTTTTTCGATAATCAATTGTGTTGTGTTTTTTAATCCATTGATAACTTTTTCATTTTTAATTGAAATTTCTGAAGAATTTACAACCTGAGGAATATTGAATAAATAAATATTTCACATAACAAATAATCAGCGTAAAGTAATTATTAAAGTGTCAAATTTACTCACTTCAAAAATAACGAATGTAACAAAAATGGAAAAAAGAATGACTTTCATGTTTAGTACTTATATCTCAGACGATTGAATCATTGAAACTGATCTTTGTAGCGAACAAAACTATTGAGTTCTCTCGATCGTTCTCTTCACCTGCGCTAATAAGTGGGTATGGATCATCTACTAATCAGGTGAGAGGACAATAACAAGTTTCTTACAGCTATTTCTATTATTATTACTAAGAATTATTATTATTATTTTTCATTTATTTAGACATTTTTGTTATCATTATTTATTATTATTTATTCTAATTGGTAGAAATGCAACACAAGATTGAATATTGAAATATTTTTAAATATTGAAAACTATAATTTATATTTAAAGCTAATAAGCTTAATTTTATTTTTCTTTGTTATAAATATTCAAAATAAATTTGTAATTATTTTGTAACAATTTTTATAATTGACAAATAAAAAAATAAACAAAATAATATATATACATATTTCATTAATCATGAATAAAAATATCAAATACTGCTATTGAATCCTTCAATATGTTCTACAATTTAAATAAAATATTTTGTAATAAAAGTTAAAATTATAATACCTACATATAATTCAATATATTAAAATTCAATAATTTTTTTATATTACTGTCCGACAAATTGGATCCGCCATTTGGAATTTTTGAAAACTGACCTCAGATTCGTTATCAGCGACGAAAAAAACTTTCAAATACCATGTTTCATTAAAATCAATTAATTTTTTAAACATAATGTCCGCCACATTGAATCCGCCAATTTGAATTTTTTAAAACTGAATCAGTGTTTCAGATGCGACGGGTTAATTTCGATCTGGCCTCACCAATAACTTTAACAATATTTTCAACCGATTAAGTTCAAATTTTACGTATTATACATTTTTAAAAATACATTGTTTATGTCATAAAATAGATTTTTTAAAAAATTGATTAGTTCATTTGTTACTAACAATTTACTGACAAATTTAAAGTTAAATCGACAGTAGTGCTTCAAAACACCATGAAATTTAATAATTATTATTTTGGTTACACTTCAATAAATGTACAATAAAGTCTTCATATCATAATTTTGATTGGCTTCATAGTTTCTTTAAAAAAATGTAAAGGATCCTATAACGAATTTTGAGTAAAATATAATGCACTGCGACCACAGGAAAATTTTATTTTCATTAAAAAAAACAACATTTTAAAACAGTTACATCCATTTATTAAATTTCGTAGCTTAACATTTCGTACATTACGTTATAATTAGATTTATATTACCATTATTATATTTCTTATAAGAGAAAATTCTGTTTCCGGTAATAAAGTCACAATGTAAACTGGGTATGAATAATAGTGAATAAAGTGTTTCTTTTTTATCTTCATTAAAATTTTCTCGATCGATAGTTTTTTGGTTCATCAAGTATCTCTAGCTGTAATATTTCCGTCTCATATGGGACTTTTCATTTACGTTTATTAAGTAGTTGATGTCGAACACTTTTTTTTTTGTTTAAAAAAAGATGACAATTTTGTCATCAAAACAAAATAATTGACTAGTATCCAGCCAATTCAGCAAATGTTGAATCCATTTCATCAGCCAAAGACTTGTATCTGTCCTTGTTGATTCCAAGCTCATCTGTAAAATAAGAATAAATTCATTGACATTAATTTTTGTTTCTCAATAATGTTGAAATTAGTTTACATTTCAGGTATGTTTTAATGTAATTAAATCAAAATTTTTTACACGGAAAAAAATGAATGATTGGGACATCAATTTATATAGATAAATACAGGATATACTAAATTCATTTAGTGAATCCAACTGTTACATTAATCCATCGAAAATTAACTAATATTGGAGTTAAAAAAACAGCAGTATTTTTTTCCGTGTATAAAATTAATATTTATATTTTAAAATAGAAACTTAAAATTCAATGAACAATATTTGAGGTAAAAATTTTGTGGTACCATGCAGACAAATGGGAATATTCAAAATGTCAAAATTCTCAAAATTTTATGGATAATTTTTAAAATATACTTGGATTAAATAAATGGAAATTCCATTATTTCTATTCCTAATGCAGGAGCTAATTTCTGATTTCGTGCCACTAAATTGATTTAAAAATTCGAGAACATTGGGGGATTTGATAAAATACCTTGAAAGCGACGATCGTCGATGTTTATTATATTTTGTTTTTTACAATTGTGATTGAATAATAAAGAATGTTGAAGCTGAGTATAATGAGTAAAATGTAGTTTTAAAAAAATTAAACGATGTAGAAAATTAGGAATAATTTATTTAATTGAATGTTAAAAAGGAAGTCACATTCTGTTCAAAAATAAGTAAAATAAAATGTCACTCGCTGTGTCGATACCCATTGGTCTGGGTAAATTAGGATAATCCAAGGGTGTCCATGGTCATCCCTAGGACATCCTAAGAATATCCGAATTTTTTTTAAACCAATGGATATCTCTAGAACATCCATAGGATATCCTGAATATCCGGATGCTGTTAGTGTCTATAGTCTCAAAACATTCAGTATTTCTGTATATAATATTTTTTTATTACTAATTTAAATATTTTTTTATGTAAATGAATGATTCTTCGCGTAGCACACAACTTTCCCTTACAATTTTCTCAAAAGTATCAAATTGATACGAAAATGAATCAAATTGATACCAAAAATTTGGATCAATTTATAATTTGAACCACATTGATGGTATCAATTCGTTGCAATTTTATTCTTTAAAGCGAGCTTTGAAGTTAACAGGGATAATAACATCAGAATATTCAGGATATCCTATGGACATCCGAAATTATTATATCCGTTCGATGTTCCAAGGATGTCCTGGAATATCTTGAGTACATCCTAGAGATATTCTAATTTCCGAATGTGACTAGGATACATTTTTGTAAATTCGAGTAATCAATTTGACGTCAATTTGATATCAAATTGATGATCTATTTCTCTTTGGGTTGATTTAATCATTAACTCAAAACGAAGCCGATATGATTCATTGTGACACTTTTTGCCTAAAACTCAAAATGAGTGAAACCAGGATCATTTTTGAATGAATGAATCGCGTACGGGGATCATTTTGAACCCAGGTTTTTCCTTTGTATTTATGTTATTATTATTAAAAAAAATCACTTCTGAACAAATGGTATTGTAAAAAAAATTCTTTAATAATTTCAGTGACGAAATCGTGCACTAACACGGAGAATCACTCAAATATTTATATTCAGATGCTAAATTTTCAAAAAGAATCTTTAAATTACTAATTTGTTTAAAAATTTTAACTTTTAAAAAATTGTAAATATTCTTGTACAAATTTTCTTTCCACCAGATTCTTATATACTTTTAAAAAAGTCGTAATTTGTTTCGTATAAGATTTAAATAGAGTTTTATATAAGTGTGTCTTTATCAAATTTAGTATCCCGTAAGCTCAGCGAATGTCGAATCCAAGTCATCGCAAATAGCTTTGTGTTTCTCCTTCTCACGGAATAAGTCGTCTGCAATGAAAAATTTTTTACAAATAAATTATGCACTTTACATGCGGGGAACAGAACTGAACTACAAGTGGAATTTTTAAACGCTACAAGGATTTCTCTACATTCATTGTGTCCTGTAAAGATATAAAATGAAATTTATTGACTCGCACCCCTGAAATATTGAACACTAAAGAAAAAAATTAAAAATGTAATACATAGTTTTTTTTAAATAAAATCATGCTATATATATGCATGATTTTCTGAAAGTAAATCAATCGAAATCCTGAAAATAAGAAACAGAAGGATTCACTTAAAAGCGAATCAATGTACCATCAATAGAAAAAAAGTGGTCCAGTCTGGAAAAACACCGAAATTGGCGTTTCTAATAAAATTTGATTTTTAAAGTATGTATACATTACTTTTAATTACTACAAAGCAATTTATTGGAAAATTGTATTAATATCAATATTTATAATTTATAAAATATCATAAGAATGATAATTGTTATCATATAATTAATAAGTAGTACTTGGAAAAAGTGAAACAGCATTCGTTGAAAAGTATTAAAAATTGCAGATTTCAACGTTTGAAAAAACATTGAAAATCTCAAAAACAGACATTTTTATTGTGATATTCTTGTTCCCTGATGTCCAAAATATAGAATGATTGTTTTGTAGTAATTAAAAGTAGTGTACACACTTTAAAAATCAAGTTTGATTAGGAACGCTATTTTGATGTTTTTTTGCTAGCCTGGGCCGCAGTGCGTCGAACGCGATTGGAACGCCTTGACAGTGAAGTGGTTAATTAATAAATTTAGTCTGATGAGGTCAAACAAGCCCTAGCCGACGAAACGTTGTATTACAACGAAAAAATCATGAATTTTATTTAACTTACCTTCTCAAGATTTATGTTTTAAAATTCTACATGCGCATTAATGCCAATCATTAAATAATATTTAAATTTAAAAAAAATTATTCATTCTGTTCTAATATCATACATACTTGGAATATTTATACCTGTCGAAGAAGATTTGTTTTGCTATTTACTATCACAAGGACTCAAACGCAAGACGCCGTTAAGCAACAATATCAATTACGTTAATCTTATTATTTTAAAAAGAAAAATTAATTAATCTTTGTCAAATTAATTTATCAAGGATAAATTTACCAGGATGCGTTTCCCTTGCGGAAACTTCCTGCTATCTTGGAGAGATACATCGACCTCCACGTCCGAACGAACAACGTTCACGTGCCCTTGGATATCATAGACTTCGCATTAATGCTTCGGCAATGCTATAACGTCTATGTAACTAACGGAGGCGGTTCAGGGCCCATCTTGACCAGATGGTAGTACCCTGTTATGGCCCGATAGTCTCTTGATACGGGACAAACATCAAGTATGAACGATTGTAAAAACATGGAAGAGTACATGCGGACTAATGCTTCGGTTAAATCCCTCATTGGTTCCGATCGGCAAGTGCCTGAAAGTGAGAATGGTGACCAGTGGCCTAAGGATGCAGGAGGACAACAACGCTTTGGTGGTACCAAGGATTGTCTTGGACAGAGTAGATAGACGAGGAAGTACGAGCAGTGTATAAGTCATATTGTGTAATAAGCAGTGTAATAAGTCAAGCCAGCTGTATTTCTGTCTTCAGTAATGCTTCTGCGATTGACATTGCTAGCTGTTATGAAGATCGAGATGAATGCATTAAGCTGCGGAAGGAATAGGCAGCGAGCATTCTGAAAATGGAAGAAGAGGTCAGCAAGATGCTGAAGTCCTGTAAAGTCCATAAAAATGTCAATATGACAATCAAGGATGGACTCAAAAGCTTAATATCGCTTATACAGGTTGTCAAGGAGAAGCACGCAGCAGCGCCCAAAGAAGATGAGAAGTTCTACCAGGGATAACCTTGGTCGGAAGAAGCACGACAAGACGTGACTGTTTTAACGCAGCAAATGCTAAAAAACGTTGTCTTGGAGAGGCATAAGCGAAAGAGAAATGGACTGAAGGCAAGGGTACCAAAACGCGCCAAAGCCGAATTCAATCAAGAAAGGAAGACAGTCACAACAACGAACGACAATAATCGTCAAAGTGGTTGAAAGAACTACATTCGCCAAAGTGCTAAAGAAAGTTCGTGAAGATTCTGACCTGGAGGCCAGTCAGACAAGGGTTGTGGAAGCTTTACCCATTAAAAAGGGAGACCTCTTTATTAAAATTGGAGTGACTTCAAATAAGGCGTCTTTACAAATGTAATTGTAGCTTTAAGCAAGTTGCAAATGGCGAGGAGTAAAGCTCGCTGTCGTGGTCACCAGCCAAGAAGACGCTGACAACCTGGAGAAAAATAGGCACGTTAAAATTGGTTTCGTGTCCTGCAATGTCAGAAGAGGAGTTATGTTCACAAGGTGCCATAGGTGCCTTGAATATACGACCATATAGGTCGAAACTGTCAAGCAGTAGATAAGTCGGCTGTGTGCTTCAAGTACGAAGAAGCCGGTCATAAGGAAGCAGATTGTAAGAAGAGCCCAAGCTGCTTCTTATGTAAAGAAAAGTGCGGCGACATAGTTGACGTCAACCATGTCGCAGGCAGCGGTGGATGCGGGGTCTTCAGGTCGGCCTTTGTGGAGGCCAAAAAGACTCTCGCTAGAACGAGAAATAAATAGGCCAGAACAAGAGCGGCACAGAAGGGTTGCGCGAGCAACAAAATGGGACCTTCATCTCACGAAGTTTGAAGCCAATAGGTAGTTCCGTGGGTTGAAGAATAGTCCAGATTAAGACGGGAGTGGATTTTAGTGGGTCGACCAGAACAAGAGCAACCATCCCCACATAACTTGGGATTCTTTATCCAGGAATCTCTTAATTCACAGATTTTCCACTTCCTGTTCTACATCCTGTTTCTATTCATCTTCTAGTAATATTGTATTTTCTTAATAATTAATTTGTTAAAAATTGTCAAATTTATAAATAAATACTGCCGAACAAAATCACAATGAACATTTAAAAACTGGTGGTATTTTAAATAGCCTTGAGTGCGAAAACCAGTACCCAATAATGGCCCATCACTGGCAAAGTAGGCATCGAGTTTTGTCAGATATTATTGTGCCGACTCTTGTGGTGTTAATTTGCGGTTGGACGTCGGCAGACACTAATAGCCTAATATTGGTTGCCATTACTTACCCAGTATTGGCAAAATACAAAAAATAATAGAAATAATTACATTTCGTAATACTGTTAAAATATCAATTCAAAAATTAATTTGAACATACATCAATCAGAATGTTAAATAACAACTCTGTTATAAAACATTTCTGGTATACGAGAATCCTATGTCAATTCAGGTTGTAGATATGATGATTCTGTTGAGTGTTAAGTTAGTTATGGAGCATTTAGACTTCTGCAGCCTGCCTGCAGGTTATCATGGTAACGTGCAGGAATAAGAGAGTCAGTGAACTCGCTAAGAACGCGGACATTTTGGTAATGTTTAATAAAATTAGTAAAATTCAAAAATTTACAAAAAAAAAAATTTAAGTAAATTTTACTTTTTTGAAAAATTAATTTAGATATTCTTATTTTTAAATTAAATAACTGACCTTCGAGCCTATCGACTTCTTTCTGGAGTTTCTTAACAGTCTTCTCAGCAAATTCAGCACGGGCCTCAGCTTCTTTTAGTTTGACAGTCAATGTTTTTAGTTGTCTTTTGAATTCCTCAACTCTTTGGTTTGCCTGAAAAAGACAGTTTATTAATAACAAGCTAACAATACTACATATTTAACATCTGAGATATTAAACCATAACATCTTTTCTTAATATCTAGTATATTAAGATTTTTAATATCTACTTTTCTCCATGTACTGAATCTAATTAGGAAATACTATATTGTTTTCCTTTTTTAAATTTATTTTTGAGGTACACTACTTACTTTCTCTTCAGAAACTTCCAAAGATTTCAAACTGTTTCCGACAACTTTGAGTTCCTCCTCGAGCTCCATGATTTTTCTACAAACAAATACAAAATTTAAGTTATGATAAAAATAATTCTATTTATTTTATTTATTTTTGATAACATCATCTCTGTTCCTTTCATATATTTATTTCTCTTACAGATTTTTTTAATTTACAAAAAGCTATTTGAAAAAATTATTTATATTTTTACTTGTTTAAGTGAGTTTTACGAAATAAAAAAATATTTTAATAAATAAAGTAGAATCATTAATTTGAATAAATATTCAGTAGGGAAGTTAAATTTTGTAAATACTAAAGAAGAATAAACAAAATTTTGTAAAGTATAAAATATATAAAGAATAGATAAAAAGGGAGAGTAATAAGAATGGTTTAATTAATAATTAAATGTAGAACTTACGCCTCTCCAGATTTGACACGGTCTTCCGCGACTTCCAGTTCATCTTCAACGAAGGCTAATTTACGAGCAACTTCATCAGATTTTCCGTCGGCATCTTCAGCGAGAAGACGAGCTTCTTTTAATTGATTCGTCAATTGGTCCATCCTCTCCTCATCTTGTTGAGCACGATTTTCCAATACTTTGCACATACTATAAATTCAAAATCTTTTGTTATTACATTTGATAATTTTTTTAATTTATGTTTAAAAATAAAAAAAGTAAGTAATTAAAAAAATTAATTAATTAAAAGTGTCGGTATATTTGAACTTAAAGTACTACGCGAATCAAACTGTTTATATAGATTATAGATATCACATGTTACTTCTGTGTAAAACTAATCGCCAGTTGATTGCTACGCTTTGTACAATACAGAAGTCATTTGACTATAATTTGCTTTCTTCTAATAAAATCTCTTTATTGTATATTTGCTGGGTGTTCATATTTATTTCAATTATATCGACAATAAAAAAACGAAGGGTGGTCAATTCCAATTTTTCGTGTACCAAAAATGTATTCCCAAATGAATACATAAGAATATCTGGGAATACTTAAGAAAACTTATGAATACTAAATACACTATTGAATTAAAAACTGAAATTTTTGTATTCATTTTATGAACACTTTGCTTCCTTATGAAACTTATCCAAAGTACATGGCGGTAGGGTATTTCGGTCAAAAGTACATGATGCTCTTTGTGGTGGTGTGTTTTTTAGTATCTTTGAGAATCAACCTTCCTAAAAGGGCAATTCTTCCGCAAATGAACAGCTGCGATTTTGGATCAAGTTATTCTTGACTTAGGAGATGCTAAGTAATCGCATGATTAGAGCTGAAGAGGCATCGTAGATTAACTTTTTTGTTCTTCCAGCCACCTGTGGCGCGGTAATTGCTAAAAAGGGTCCAGCGATGGACTTGAACTTGATGAAATGAAAACAAATGCAATCAGCAAAATGCCAGCTCCGAAATAAAAAAAAGAATTGTCATAAGGAAACTCAAGCTAAAGATAAAAATTCAAACAAACAACAACTTCTCCAGCGATGCTGACATAATTCCTATGGATTCAAATCTACCAACTACAAATGATGTCATACCACCAACCAACAATTCATTGAGTACAACAGCAACAGAAGATATAAAATAATGTCCCTAAAGTTAGTGTCGACGCTTAGCATCGAAAACTAGTGTTTGTGGTTTCTAGAGATGAAAATGTTTCTAATTTCACTTTTTTCATTCAGGAGAGTTAAAGATAGTAAAAAAATGTTCAGGTCGCTTATTGCTTCCTCGAGGGAAAGCTTTTTAACATGAAACCTTGAGAATATTTGATTCTTTGAATATTGGAGTTGACCACCTTTCGATAAAAAGTAATTCGCTAAAAAAATATAAATACCGGCTGGATTCATCAGCAGCTTGAGATGCTTCGGTAAGTTTGGCAGATGCGGTGTTGAGACGTTCCTCAGATCTTTCTAAATCTTCTTCGATTAATTGAACTTTTCTGTTAAGAGCCGCGACTTCAGATTCAGCCTAAACAATATAGTAAACAATTGTCATTTAAAATAATAAGAAAATGAAAGAAGTGAATTATGAAAATACGATGAAGAAAAATTGATTTACATTTGTGAGGGATTTTTCGCGCTCCTCAAGATCCTTGTTAGCTTGTTCCAGGTTTTGTTTATTGGCGACAAGATCGGCTTCAACTTGGGTTAATTTCTTCTGCAAATCGTTGACCTCCTCGAGGACCTTATCCGCTCTCATATTCGCCTCCTTTGCCTGACCCTCGCAGGTGTCCGCTTTATCCTGCGCATTGTCCTTCTCAAGCTTCATCGCTTGCATCTTCTTTTTAATCGCGTCCATGGTGGTGTCTGTTTTTTGTCGACTTCACTCACGAAAATAAGAAGTCCGCTAAAACACAAAATTCTAATTAGAAAAATGAAAATAAATTTCTTTTATTTCCCCTTATTTATACATTTTATTTTAAAGATTCAAAAATTTCTCTTTAATCAAAAAGAAAACTTTAATCAAAAAAGAAAAATTTATATGATATAAATTTTAAATATAATATACTACATTTATAGTATATAATTATATATATATAGCCCGTTTATATACTAAATAAATAAATAAATAATTAAAAATTGTGTATTATCGAAAATTTACTTTTTATTTTTTGTTAATTTATAAACTATTTGATTAGAATTATTTTGACTGAAAAAATTTGTCTGTAGTTCGTCAATCATTATTTTCATCGTTGAAAGACAAAAATTTAAACGAGACCAATCCAGCGTCCAGAAATAAAACAAGGTGAGCGCGCTTCGAATTTAGAAATATAAGTGAGAGAAGTAACATTATACATATTCATATTATTTTCATGTAGGAAACGATTTTCATTTTGGTTTAATCGATTTTGGAATTGTTTCAAGAGTTTTTTAATTGTAATAGTATTTAGTACATCATCGAGAAATGCATATTTTGATTATAGTGTATTTGACAATTAAATATAAGAATCACAAATTAATGATATTTACGAGAAGAATTATTGTCAGCGTCAACACACTTAAAAAGAATTTTAATTTAAACATTCCACATTTAAAAAATGTGAAATAAAATTTCCCTTGTATAATTTTATTAATTTTTTTATTTTAAACTTTATTGGTTTCTAATAGGATGCTTTGTTTTAGTGAAAATTTTCACTTGTTATTTTTTGATTGGTTTTGCCCTTATTGACCTCAGGAACTCAAGAATGTTTCAAAAATTTTGAAAAACATAATTTATCATTATTTTTGGTTTGATAGAAATTTTAATGGGTTTTTAGAATTATTGCACTGAGAGCTAGCCTTTATGGTCTGCAGCAGACTTTTGATAGGCTGCTGCTGACTATTCTGTTGATAAGCGTAACTAATAATTAGAAAATTTTTTAAAAACAAATATTAATAATTATAAATTATCAAGAAAATCAACAAACACATGCAATATTTTTATATTTGAATAAACAATATTTCAATGATTCCTTGTAAATAAAATCAGACTTCTGTCTGTACTTTTCTTAAAACTTCAAAATTCTAGCGTGAACATCAAAGATTCCAAAAATAAAGTTCATAAAAAGTTTAATGTATGTATGTTAAGTATGTTTGATTAAAAAGTAATAACTTGAATGAAAGTTATTATTATTATTAAAAATTTAATTTAGGAATTACAATTAGATTAAGAATATTTAATTTTTTTATAGCAACACTAAAGATGATCAGCGTCGATCTGATCGAAAAGCTTTTGTGACAATAATTATTATTAAAAAATTCGAAAAATGCATATTTTTAATTTTTAGCAGATTTAAGCGACATATCTGCAGTTAATTTTTGAGATAAATACAATCCATTTTCATAATATAATACAAAAATAAATAATAAATTCGAATTTATAAGCCAAAACCATGTTTTCATTTTTATCAATTTTTTAACTTTATTTTTCGTTTATATGTTGTTTAAGGTATTTGTCGCATATTTAAATAAACTTGACCATCTCTAAGTCTCAAAAAATTTAAATCAAAGATTCTATATTTTACATGTATGGAATAGGAAGACCCTGTCCGGGTTTTTAACACTTTTTAATAAAAAAACCAAAGAACATGTTTATATATTTTATTTTTCTCCAATTTTTTTTAATGAAAAGCTATTTTTATATTTTTTACAATAAATATAATATACAAACTTCACTTAACAATATAATTACAATAAGATCTGAGCTTAATTTCAAAAACACTTTTTAGTTGTATAATTTTAAAGTTAAAAATTTACGAACCTAACTATTGTAATAATTTCTAAATTATTTCATATTTCTTGACGAAGGATTAAATTAACAATAGGCTCAAAAAGAGAAGTTGATTTCAATTAAAAATTGCCAACAGGTGTCATTTAGACATTCGACCTCTTGTTCTTTAAAACATTGATCAGGAATTTGTAGGAGAACTTAAAACGCGCAAAGAATCAAAGCGAAGAATCTCATTGACTTTGGCAGGAGTCCATTCATGCAATTTGATTTTCCCACAGAAAGATGGGACTTAAATGTATTATTTTTTTCTATAAATCGAATAGAAATATAGAAACGAAAAAAAACTTTCTTTTCTTATTAATTTCTAATTTTTTTAATTTTTTGGGGAGAATATGGGAAAATATTTTCCAACCTCTCTCACTCTCTTGATCGTCATATTCGGAGCCTTCAGCATTTCGAAGTAGCGCCCGTAGAGAGCTGATATCTACGGAAATAGAAACTACTGCCAGAATTCTATTAATATAGACGGAGAAAAGGTGGTGGCTGACTAAAATATTGGAAAGAACGGGTCGAGATGAAGCGAGTGTACGAGTCTCAGGCAACTCCTTAAGAACGAGCTTTACTTGGCCGCCAACGTAGACCCGACATCTGATCTTAACTGCCCGAAATTATTTATAGAATTTTACGAAACTTTGCGAAACAAGCGCCGCCCAAAATCGAAATTTTTTAAATAACTTTTTCTTATAAATCTTAGGTAGGGTTATATTTTCTTGTTTTCTTTTTCGTCCATTTTTCCCCATATAATCGAAAATTCCTTCATAAATTTAGACATATGAAATTCCTCAGAAGTGGGAGATCTTACTCTTATGACAAAACAATTAAGATTCCATAAATCCACACGCTGAAAAACTTTTTCATTGAACAACTTATTTCTAAGCATTGGGATCACTTGTTTTTATTTATTCAAAAATCTCTTAAAAATAGAATTTTTTAATTTCATTGATCAACGAAGAGCAAAATTAACAGAATTTGGTTGTTTGAGAAACTTTTGAATTTTGTACATAAAACACTTCATTTAAAGCAACTTTAATTTTTTTAATTTATTTTGAGAAAGAAATGTCAGAGAATTCAATAAATTTCCTTTATAGTAACCCTCTTCGTGTTGACACAACATTCTATCAAAATCAAAAATATTTTTTTATAAAATATAGTCGAATAAAATTATATTTGCACTAAAAGAAATGAATGGTTGTAACTACTCTTCAGGTAGTAAAAAGGTTGCATAAAATAGGTAGATTAACAAACAAAATGGTTAAATCAACTAATAAATTTTAGTTTAATAATAATGATTGTAACCTCAACCAATAAATTAGCAGCATCATATTTTATTTTATATTTAACATAATTAAAAAGTATAGAAAAAATAAATTCCAAAAGAAATATTCTTTCTCATTGTTTGAGTAAAAATTGCATAAGAGTTTAAAATTTCTTCAAGTTGCATGCAATGTTTAGTCAATATTTGCCTCAAATGTAGTTTGAGTAAGTACAACCTTTGTAGGAACAAAGGTTATTGCAATCAAGTTAATTTCAACTTTTTAGAAAACTTTTGATGCTGTTTGGAACTTTACAAGAAAAATATCACAAATAATGATGTCATTATTTATTATGTGCTAATAAATAAATATTTATTGCAAAAAATGCCAATGAGTGAATATTGAAAAATGTATAAAATCTGTACAAAATGATAAATTATTATTTTATTTAAATTCTATAAATTATAAAATTATTAAAATTCTTTAAATTGAAAATAAGTATCCGTCTTTTTTAAATTAAACTCATACAATGTTTGAAAATTAAAAATATTTAAAAATATCAACTTCTTCAAAATGAAAATATTCAATTATTTTTTAAATTATAAATTAATATTGAATAATTCTCAAAATAAAAGAAAAAAGTTAACGAAAGTTGGAAAATTTATCAATTTATTTAGTGATCCATTAGGAAAGATAATATGATGTATGTCCACGTTCTAAATATTTTCTACCCTCTCCCACTCTCTTGTCTTTAAATTCCAACCCACCATTTTGAACTTTAGTTTCATAAATTTTATCGCATCACTTTTAAAAATAATGTCACAGTGGAGTGATATTATTATGTCTGTTTTGATTTCTTAAAAAATAAAATACTCAGCTTGGCTTGAGTGTAAAGACTGAAAATAGATTTTAGCATATTATCTCTTATGAAAGTTCAGAAAGTGGAATGATGTTTCTACATAGAAAAAACATTTTTGTATCTTCTATAAACAATTAACTTATTTTCATTAAACAACCCTAACTTAAACGCTGACTAATGCAATAATTTTTTTAAAAAAGTTGTTTTTTTGAAATTTAAAAAAAACACATCACTAACATGCGAAACACACATATTATTATTATTGTTACACACTAAAATCAATTTTTTTTATTTTTGAGTAAAATTTTGTATTTAATTTTCATGTCATTTAAATTAATTTCAAATCGTGCAGCAGTTAAAAGGGAAGTTATATATTTTAGCACAAAATTTAAAAGACTGCACTAAATAGTTGAAAAATTTCAAAAAATACAAATATGAAAAATTTTGAAATTACCAAAGAAAAATAAAGCAAGGCTTGAAATCTTTTTAAAAATTGCAGACCTATTCAGAATAAATAAAAATAGTATTCTTTTGTAACCTAGTTTTTATCAGTAAAAAGTATAATTCAAAAATTCAAATCTAATCCTTATAAATCTTATAGATCCCTTTCAGGGTATTATTAAATTTTAGTCAAAAAATTAAATTGTTAGTCAAAATTTTGGCAGAGTTTTTTGATTATGATTAATAATTGTTTTGGAATTTTAGTTACTTAAAACTGCATTAAAATGTAACAAAATTTACAATTTTCATTATCTTGAAAAAATAAAAAAATTATTTAAAATTTTACTTACACTAAATTTAAAATATTTATAATAAGTTAATTTATTTAAGTAAATTCATAATTTTTTCTATTTTTAATTCCTTAAAGTCTTATCTAAAAATATTAAAAACAATAAATTTTCTTTAAAACTTTAAATAATTACCAAAAAACTGAAAAACTCTGACATATGTTCAGTTGAAAAAAAAAAATTTATCTTGTAACACCTGCTAGAAAAGCTTCATTTTTCTTCAATAAAAATGCAGCACAAAAATTAAATTTCTACATACTTAAAATTAAAAGTATGCAGATACACTGTAAACATCATTAAATTACATTTATTTATTAAAACAGTATAAAAATAATGCTTTTGATAAACAAGTGTTACCCGAAGCATTGTGTGTACCAACCACATAAGGAAACAAGAATTTTCCGACGAGTTTGATTGCAGCTCTCGCTTGACTCAAGTAGTAACTTATAAACTCATCGGAAAACAAATGTCCTCCTTTCTGCTCTTGGTGTAAAATGCACTATTTTCAAAACTTAATTACGTTATTTACGTTCGTTATTTTTGTTAATGCTACTTACGACATCGCGTTACTTCTACAAGCCCAAAAGCGTAAGCGTGAAGCGTTGAATGTTATTTTTTTGCAGTGACAAGCGGTAAATTTTTTTTTCAAAAATCCTGATTCTCTGAAGTTTGAGGCTTATTTGAAAAGAAAGTAGCTCCAGGATTTTCTGTAAGAAATGGAAGAATATCACCAGAACAATGTTTTTTCTCTTGTGTACTTTTAAAAAATCCAATCAAAGTCGAGTCCTTAACAATTTTTTTTCACACTTTGCGGATGTAAATTACTTCACTTTAAAAAAAAAGAAAAATTCATTTTTCAAAATCACTTTGAAGAAATTTAATCCACTTTAAATTGATCAATTTCCTAGAATTGAAAATTTAAAAAATACTTTTCGTTTAACTTGTAAAATATTTTTTCTACAAATTAGAAAAAAGAATACACGAGGTTTCACTAAAAAGACGAAAAAAAATCACGTTTTTCCATGACACTTACCTAACCCGAGCGATAAGAGAGACGCGCGTCGAGTGTCGTCTCGATCCTCCTCAACGACGGACGTCGCAGATGACGCGGGTGGGGAACCCAAAAATGGCGAGCCTTCAGCAATCGCGCATTTCGGCCTCATCTTCAAGCGCGTGGTTCAAGTTTATTTGTACATGTTTAGAGAAACTGGTCTCTCATCGCGTCACTCTTTTGAAGGCTTTGTAAAGCTTTTTTATCTTTAAGCTTTTCTATACTTTCTTTCCCCGTGTCCAAAAAAGTGTTCATCCGAGTTTTTTTCGTTTTTTTTGAGAAATCACGAGAGTACAGGAAGTTGTAGGTAGAAAACTCCTCAAGAATCATAAACAATAATTATATTTAGTAATTAAAAATATATGCATTTTTCTTTTTCAAATTTTTAATTCTCGATTGTTACATTTTTATCAGTGTGAAGTTAAAAAATAGAATCATAAAATGATGACATCTGTTACCGAAGTATATCAAGTTACACTTATCAAGGATCGAGAATTTTTGAAAAGAAAACAATTTCAACTAAATTTCTTTGACGAGAGCATCGAAATTGCAAAAGTGGACGTTAATCCGTTAATCATTAATTAACTGTATTATTTTCTTTAACGATTTAACTTTCAAGTTATTTTTAACCCACAGTGTATAGACTGGGTTATTTTAACCCAGACGACTTTTAAAAGTTACCACCATTTTTTAAGAATGAGAAGGCACAGGTCCAGAGCGGTCTGTAATAAAAGTTTGAGATGGCAATTGTTGGTAAATCGTTTGACCGAATGAATCGGTCAATTTCCGTTCGTATAAGACGCATCTAAAATTCGAGCTTGGTGAAATTAACCCAGAGTATTCAAAAGGTCAGAAAACCCATACTTTACCAAAGAAGAAAATTCTCAAAACAAATGTTTACGATGTGATAAGCCCATGTGCAAAGATCTTGTGGCTAAGAGATGCTGAATCTAATTATATAAAATAAACTAGCTGCCGTCAGATATAAATATTTCTTTATGTTTGTGAAAAGTGAAGCATGAATTCTTAAATCCCAAGCAATGTACTTAAAATGTAACTTCAAAACTTAAAAACAAATTTTTGAATTTTTAAAAAAATTCATAACATTGTTTCATATTAATATTTTTTACTCAAATATATGGCCAATATTTTATGTCAGACTAACAGCTAAACAAAATTTTGCAGACTGTACATACGACAGAAATTTTTTTATTTTTCTGTTGTTGAAAACAATAAATTATATGCTAGAAAAAATTAATTTAGGCAATGTACAGACAAAAGTCTGATTTTATTAATATAGTCATTTAGTAATATACAAAAATTTCTTTAAACAATTTCTGTTTGTTTATGTTCTGCTATTCAATTTTCTCAGTAGTAATTTATGTCAAGCGTAATACGCCTCTATGAAAATGGTATTGTAATGTAATGCAAACCACATGACAGCTGGGTCACTGTGCTCGCTCTGCATGCTTCTGCCCTCTTCTGGCGACTGGCAGTAAACCACTTCTTGCGGTCGGTCATTACATTGCTTTCCAATTTTTAATTTCACAACCGCGCTGCTGCATGGATTTAAAAAATCTTTTCGATTATTGTAATTTAGAATATGCTTATCCATTGTGCCGCTTCTGAATTCCGTTTTTGCAAACACAGCACTTAGCCATACAGTCCGTATTGCGATCATTCCGGCTAATAAACATCAGTTATTCTCTCTTCAAGTCAAATTTTCATTCCAATTTAGTCATATTTACATTATTTGGAAGTAAAAGCATACATTTTTATACATTACCTTACAGCTCTAACTAAATTTCTTTTCTCTCTAGCATTAATAAAATTTGTTCATATTACGACTGTCATATTCTGTGTTCGCCATGCATCCCAATACGGAAAATACACGATTCCGGGTTCGACTCGGCCTACTCGCAATGCTGAAGTGCAGACTCCCAATTTTTCTTTTTTTACAGAGGAGTTCAATATAAATAGTTTAATATGTAATGAAAAAATGGACATTTTATTGAAAAGTTCTAATAAAATTACTATTTGTAGAACTAAAATATAACAAGAAATGAATATAATTATGATAATAATCGACGCAACCAACATGACAGTATACCTTTGGTTAGGTTATTTATTTTAGTAGCATAGCCCTGGTTAAAAATTCGGATTGATTTCGGACTAATCTGAAATTTGTACACACGTTGTCATTATATTATTAATGTCAAATTTTTCGTTTAGAAATAATACGGTTTACAGAACATCGTGCACGGAGAGTTTATATAGTAGTGTGTAACATAATGATAGTTAGGGTGACCATCTTTAGTGTTACAAATACGGACAGCTATCTAGATAGTATCAGTTAGCGTCAAGATTATGCAAAGTAACATCTTGATAGTACGGGGTAGCATAACTATATTTTTGTAACATAATGCATTGTAGCATAATGATAGTACCGTGTAATGTTGAATATATAAGTTACTAGCTGCGACCCTATTTATATATTGTGCTTATCATTATTTCTTTGGTCATGATTTAGTATTGAATGTGCCCTTCTAACGAACACCTCGCTAAATATCATTACCACATATAAAAAATTCTTTTATTAGTTAACTAACTGTTTTCACTGTTTTCAATATTATCCACAACCTCAGTCCAACAGGTTATGGGCCCAGAAAAATCGTGTCTGACTTTTTGGATGTAAAAAGTTAGTGAAAAATTCTAAAGTGCTATTGAACTTGTAAGTAGCAACACATGTCGTTGAAAATCGCGAAAATGCGTTCCTCGATCTCGACGCGTATCGAAGCCTTAGGAATCATACGCCTAAAAAATTTTTAACTCAGAATTTACTTTGATTATGCAGAAAGAAGAGCCCCTTATTCACATTCTCTAAAGCCAATTAAAATCCCTTCTTTTAATTTTACTTTCTAGCTTTATTAAACAAGCTGCTCTTGAATCAATTGTGTTTGAAAAACAGAAACTTGAAGAGCTGATCAGCGACTCTAAAAATTTCCTAGATCTTAATAAAATAAATATCGGAGAAAAAACACACTAGATGCTATCAGCATTACCAAAATCAAGTCAATTATACTTTAGAAGTGAGGTAAGAGAATTTTACCTCGCTGCTGTGAAACACATTTTGAAGAAAGTTACGAGTTTAATTCAGAACATTGAAATATTTTCAGTGCTAACGACTAGAAAATATAATAAATTCAACGAGTGTTGGTTTCATCACGAAAATTGCAAAATTACTGCAATTAAACATCATCGATATTTCTAAGTTAAACTTAAAAACGATATTAATCAGAGCAAATATCCGCAAATAGCTATGAACAATAGCTTTAGCTGTTCAAAATGCTCTGTCTTTAAGTCATGGAAATGCTGATGTGGAAAAAGGGTTCTCAGTTTCTTCGCAAGTACTCACACAGGACAAAAGTCGAATGGCCGGACTCTCTATGCCAAATTATCTATTATTGATGGTCTGCAGAAATTTAACAGAATAATCCACAGAAAAAAATCCACCGGATTTAATTAGGCTGTCTCAGAGTGCTCATTCTTCTTACGACTTGTTTTGGACCACCCTATTGCTACAAGGCCAGATATTTCTTTTGCCGTGAATTATCTTAGCCAATTTAATAATGCAAATGGAGAAGAACATTGGATAGCTGACAAAAGAATCCTCTGCTATCTTCGTGGGATAGCAAAATTTGGATTAAAATATCAAAAGGATTTGAAGGAGTTGCAGGGATTTATTGATTCTGATTGGACAGGATGTTTGGAAGAAAGGAGATCGTTCACGCGGGTTTTGTTTTTGTGCTCAGTGAATGGGCAATAACGTGGGAGGCTAAGAAACAGTGTACGGTAGCGCTTTCCAGTACGGAAGCATAGTACATACATGGGTCTGTCAGAGGCTACAAGGGAAGCATCTTATTTGATGAGTATTCTTCAGGAAATTGGATTGGATCACCGTTGGATTGGGTTGCCATTTATAATGATAATCAGGAAGCTTAAAAACTTGCTAAAAACCCTTCTTTCCATTCTGGAAGTAAACACATTGATGTGCGACATCATTTCATTAGGGAAGCTCTTCAACAAGGAAAAATATCAGTTCATTATATTCCGACAAATAACACGATGGCCGATGTCTTTACAAAGCCATTAACAGGTCTAAAACATCAAAAGTGTTTAAAACTTTTTGGTATGTCTTTTTCGAATTAAAAAATAGGTGTTCAAGTGAGTTTGACAATTCATATTTTTTATAAGACAGTACTAATTTTTTTTCTTTGTTCCTTATTTAAACAAAAATAAACAATTTAGATTTATGTAAAAATAAGGAAGTTTAAGAATTGTTAAAGTTTTATTATAAATTAATATGGTCTTGCTTGAGGCGGGTTGTTGAATATATGAGTTACTAGCTACGACCCTGTTTATATATTGTGCTTATCATATTTCTTTGGTCATGTTATTATAGCTAAAATTCTTCTAATTGAAATTTATTAAGTAAGTAAGTACAAAGTACAATACAACAATACGCTTGTTTTTCAACATTTAAGTATATCCACAAGCGGAGGTCAGTCAAAGACTGTCGAAAATATACATATATATAAACTATACAATCCAGACGAAATAAAACAAAAAAACAAAAAAAAAGAAAAAGAGTACATACACCGACACCTAACTCATCGAGATCGCAACGTTTTCATCAGCAGGTAAAATTAATAGCAACAATTTAATAAAACGTTTAATATTATATACATTATTAGATGACAAGAAATTCAACCAATCCGAAAATTAAATACTATCCATGCTCCGAAAAAATTCCGGGAAGGCGTTCACCCACAAATGTGAACAACCAGGACACTCAACCAAAACATGGAAAATGCTTCCCTCCTCCCCGCGGCAAACCTTGCACAATTTGTCAACCCGAAAAGTACAGCACGACTTACCCAAAAACAATCTGCAAACATATTTATTTAATAATCTAATCTGAGCAAAAACCCTTTTATAAAATAGAGGGAGTCTAGAAATCAAATAACCCTGAGTTCCACAAAAAACGGTTAAATTAGGATATATCAAAAGGCTTTTTGATAATAAAAGCCTCGCTCTATCACGCTCTACAAGAAACCGCTCATATTTCTCAAGTGTTG